TGATTTTGAAATTCAGATGGAAAAGTTTAAAGAACACATTTTGGTTCATGTGGGCTTGTTTTAATTTTCTTTGACTTCAGTTTGCACTTGTACATGAATAATTAATGGTCTGACCCACAGACCTCCTCTGACCCAGTTTTAATTGATGATAGTGAGCTTCTCCAAGTAGCATACCTTTCAGTATCACAGCAACCCATAAGTAATCTCAGTATAGCAAACTGACAGACAATTGCTATACCAATTAGAACAATTTTCTCCCCAAATACAACAAACTGACAATTTCATTTGTACCTCTAATAGCAGATCAGCACTTAGGACTGGGTAGGGGGACCTTTGTGTTTAAAAGTGAGTAGGCTTCAGGTCTGTGGCACTCAGGCCTGGTGTGAAGATTGGCTGTTAAAATCAAAGAGGAACTTTAAAAGAAGAAATACAAGACAGAGTAGATAAAACCAATGAGGCATAAGAAAACCTAGAAAAACAAGAAACCTCAAACAATCCAGGATATTAAAACCAAAGTCTCAGAAGCTGTCAGAAGATTGGTGAGACAGATTATAGAATTGATGAGATGGAGCACAAAATCAGCTGAACAGAGGATAGAACTCTCAGCATTGATCTGCTAGAGCAAAAAAGAATTTAAAAAAAAAAAGGAAAAATGAAAGCCTAAGACTAATGTCTTGCTCAGGCTTCTAACCGTCTCTCTCACCCCATTTCCTCTCCACTTCCTTGTGATATTGGTGCTACTGGCACAGGGAGAGCAGTCATCATGAGGCAGGGTGATCTCCATGTGGCAAGGCAGGGAATGGGGAGGTGCTGGAAGGGCAGCGAGAGGGAACTGAGCTGGATGCTGGCAGCGTGGGGTGATTGTGGGAATACAATACATGAGTTTAAGGGGTTGATCCCAGGACCAATACTCGATCTATTACATGCATACTTTCATTTGCTATTTTGGGTAAAATGCTTATCTGTCAAATACTGCTCTAAAGCTTAGCACCCAAATTAAGACAGACTATTTGTAAGGATTGGCCATCCACTTCCAAAATACCAGGCCTTTGAATACCCTATGTATAATAGAACACACTTAGATAAGACTAGCAGCTATGGCATTAGAGGCTGAGCCTTCATGTTGGGAATCACAAAGAGGGAGAAACAGTTGCATACAGACACTAGTGACTGGAATGTGAAGTGTGAGAAATTTGAATATAGGGAAATTTGGGATTGTTAAGGAAGAAATTGAACACATAAATATTAACATACTCGGCATTGGTGAAATGAAATGGATTGGCATGGGATATTTTGAATCAGACAATCATATGATCTACTATGAAGGAAATGAAAAGGTAAGGAAAAATGTGGTTGTATTAATAGTTACAAAGACCGTTTCTAAATCCATCTTGAAATATAATGTTATGAGTGACAGGATAATATTCACAAACATTGATGGAAAACCCATTATTACCACTATCTTTAAAATTTATTAACCAATAACCAGAGTCAAAGAACAGGAAACAGATGACTTCTACCTACTGTTACAATTGTAAATCAATCGAACAAGCAACCAAGATGCATTAGTAATATTGAGTGACTGGAATACAAAAGTTGGAAACAGGGAGAGGAATCAATATTTGGGAAACATGGACTTCGTGACAGAAATGAAGCTGGAGACAGGATGGTAGAATTCTGTAGAACCAATGATTTATTCATTGCAAATACATTTCATGAGAAACACAAATGGTGACAATATACATGAACTTCACCTGATGGCCTACACAGGAATCAGATTTATTATATCTGTGGGGGAAAATCGTTGGAGATGCTCAGTATCAACTGTGAAAAATAGGCCAGGTGCTGACTGTGGAACAGACCACTAACATGTAAGTTCAAACTGAAGCAAAATAAAATAAAATAAAATCTGCAAGAAACAGAGTTTTACTTTGAGTCTATCCCCACTGAGTTTAAGACCATCTCAGGAACAGATTTTAGGCCTTGAATATGAAAGATCAAAGAACCGATGAACTGTGGCAGGATATGAAGAATATAATCCATGAAGAATGTAAAAGGTCATCACAAAGATGGAGGAAGAAGAAAAGACCAAAATGGATGTCAGAAGGAACTCTGAATACTGAACTGAATATAGTGCCAAGGAGTCAAAGCAAAGGGAAGAAATCAAGAAATTAAGGAGCTGAAAAGACTTCAAAGAGCACCACGGGAAGACAAAGTATTATAATGAAATGTGCAAAGAGCTGGAATTGGAAAATCAAGAAGGATGAACTTAGCATTCCTTAAGCTGAAGGAACTGAAGAATAAATTCAAGCGTAACTGGGGTAATGGGGGTAATTGTGTAGGAGACAATGACATTCCTTCAAGTTTGAGCAGGTTTCAGAGCTGTTGTACATAGTGTCGCTATGAGTCTCAAGGAACTAAACAGCATAAAACAGCAACAACAAGGATAATGTGGAACACTATCAAGAGGAAAACAAGAGTTCCTGGAATTCCAGAACACGAAGAAGCAAAAATAGTCACTGAAAAAATTATGGAAGAGTTACTAGAACAAAACTACAGGTATTTTGGAGAATAAGAGAATATACATCCAAGAAGCTTCTTGTTGTAATTTGCCATCGAGTCACCTGTGACTCATAGCGACCCTATGTACACTAGCTCTGAGTATACATCCTGCCCTATAGTGAGCGAATCTCATTGTCTCCAAAAGACATAATCCCATTTCTCCAGTCACTGAATCAATCCATCTCATTCTGATTTTTCCTCTCCTTCACTGTCCTTCTACCCTTCCAAGCACGATGCACATTGCTTTCTCGCACACGTGAAGCATTCTCCACAATAGATCAAATTCTAGACCACAAATGAAGGCTCAATACATTTCAAAATATAGAAATAATGCCAAGAATTTTCTCAGACAACAATGCTACAAAATTAGAAATCAGTAAGAAGATAAAGAAGGAAAAATGCATATGGAAGTTAAACAATACCCTACTTGAACATGCATAGGAAATAGAAGAAATTGAAATTAAAAAAATTCTTGAAACAAATAAAGATGCAAATACAACTTATCAAAACCTGTAGGATATAGTCAAAGTAGTACTTAGAATTCTATTCATAACAATAAGCAAATATATCAAAAGAGAAGGAATGAAAAGTCAATAATTTAACCAAACGTCATCAACAAACAGAAAAAGAACAGCAAGAGAATATGAGAACTTAAAAGAAATAATATTTCAAAAATTAGGGTAGAAATAAATGGAATAGAAATCAGAAAAAACCATTGAAATTACCAACAAAACCAGGAATTGGTTCTTCAAAAAAAAAAAAAATAAACAAATCACTGACAAAGCTAACAAATGAAAAGAAAGAAAAGAATATAAATAAAAAGTGAAGGGGTGTTGTCACAACAGAGCTAACTGAAATAAGATTAATAACAGACTTTTATGATAAACTATATTCAAACAAATATGATAACAGAGAAGAAATGGACAGATACTTGGAAACTCACAACTCACCCAAACTGACACAGTCTGAAGTACTGCCAGATTCATTCTGTGAAGCAGACAGATTCTTGATACCAAAGTCAGGTAAAAACACCACCAAAATTGGAAACTAAAGACTGGTATCTCTCATGGACATAGCCACAGTGACTGTAACAATGGGTTTGCTATGTCTAAAATTGTGAGGATGGGACAGTGTAGTTCTGATGTTCATTGGTTTCTGCAAGTTTTAGTCAACTCTTGGGAACTTAACAGCAACAGCATTACTGGATTTAAACTATTAAAGCATTTGCTAACACTAAACTTGTGATTATTTAACTTTTGTGAGTTGTTATGCTAATGTAGCTAACCATTAAAAGCTATTACTTCCCTTACATTGTACACACCACAAAATCCCTTGAAAGTGAAGATGAGTATAATTGAGAAAAAAAATCTTATAATTAAATAAAAATTCATTCTTACAGAGTGATATGCAAGAACAGCTTCCGTAGCTGTCCATCTTTCACCTTGGATACAATGTTCTTAAAATAACCATTAACATTTTAAATATAGCAAGTTTGTGCCATGTGGTCATGGGGTGCACCCATGGTAGATTGTGTCATAAATTTTTGTCCAAGTTATATGATTATTAGTTTTATTGAGAAACAACTAGCACTTATTTTTATTAAAAATTTATTAAGTAATAGTGATTTTATAGTGCTCATTGCTATCTATAGAGTTGACTTAAAAATAAAGGTGCAGATAAAAAAAGCAATTCTTTTTATAGCAGCTATGCATTCATATTTTAATATACAGAAACTGCATAAATTCTGGGTTGCATCGCTGATGTGGTGTTATTAACTGAATCTTTACCAAGTTGGCGAGGTCCTGGAAAAAACAGAGCATTTAGTCAGGGTCTTCAGCCTGTGATAATGTAATACATATGGAGATGAAAAATTTGAAGAAATGTATCCTGTAGATAGATTTTTATGTAGAAATAAATGCAGAGTTGGGATCCTTCATACAAATATGACCACATTTATAAAGCTGAAGAAAAGAGGTTAGGTATAATTAAAACAAGGTAAATTTGGGATACTCATTTAGAATATCATAGATGCTTAGCTTATGCTTATATTTTACATGTATGTGGTTGCACAGTTTAACAGGGTTGCACAGTTTGGTGAGTAGAAGGAATGGGGGGAAGGAAATGAGAAGGATTCAGGTGAAAAGACAAGATAATGATGGACAAGACCCAATGGTGTTTAAGTTTATAAAACATAATGTATGAGAATGAGTGTATGAAATACAATATGAATGAAGAATAGAGTGAGACATAATGTACTTGAACGTTGTAAGCAACTACTACTACTACTACTACTACTACTACTACTACTACTACTACTACTACTACTACTACTACTAAAAGACCAAAAAAATAACCCAACAACCCAACCTGGAAAAAAAGAATATGGTTGAATGTTCTATGTATTTATAGTTCCCTGTTTATTATTTTGTTTTCCATAGACATGAAGCCATTATTATCTCAGGAACTAAAATGGCCAAACAAATCCAGAAAGAAATCCACCGAGGTGTGGAATCCTGGATTTCCCTTGGAAACAGAAGACCTCACCTTAGTATTGTTCTAGTGGGAGATAACCCAGCAAGCCAGACATATGTAAGGAATAAGATCAGAGCTGCATCTGCTGTTGGTGAGTATGCGTTTTAGTTGTAATTGTTCGCAGGTGAGTTTTCTGTTCTTACCTGAATTATGATAACTATAATTGATAGCTGCCAAATAAACTCATTCATTGTCCTTGGGTCTGAACCAACTTTAGAGGCTGTAACTTGTATAGGAAGAGAGTGTCTGTCTTTCTCCCAAGGAACCACAAGTAGATTAAAAATGGCACCATCGAAAGAAGATATGAACAGCCCAAATGTCCAACCACAAAAGAATGGATTGAGAAATTATGGTACATTCACACAATGTAATACTATGCAGAACGCAGGAGCAGTGTCTTTGTAAATTATTACCTAACTTGGAAGGGACTGGAAGGCATTATGCTGAGTGAAATAACTCAGTCCCACAGGGATAAATATTGTATAAGACTGTTATTATAGACTGAGTATAAGGATCCAGGAGGGGTAGGAGAGGCTGGAAGCAGAGGGATGTGGATGTGCAAGGGTAAAGATGGGATTAATCATTGGGTTGTACAATTTGATGTGTTGGGGATGACGGTAATAAAAAAAATTTGTTCAAATTTGTATTAGAATTTTGTAAATAAACTAGTGGGAAAAAAAATGGCACCAAGGTATGATCTTTGGATTAGCAGTTCAATTCCCCATGAAAGAGGCCAGAAGGGCTATCAAGTAAGTGCCATTGGAAGAACATATTATATTATCATTAGAGATTATTTCCATAGTTGATGTTTGTTTAATTCTTGAAATTTTGTTTCAAAATTCGAAAATCAATCTGGTGTCACCTCAGAGCTTATGGTAAGGTGTCAAAGAAATATTTTTCATGTAAAGGGCCTATCTTTGTTACATTTGCTTTAATTAATTAAGAAACCTGGTCTACTACACTCTATGGAACTTGGTCTTCTAGTAGTGGTGGTAGTGATTATTTTTACCTATTTAAATCTACTAACCATTCTTATTTTCTGCGATCAAGTTATCTATCACCTTATGGTTACCATTGCATATGGAATGAAACAAAGGCTATCTCCATGATCAATTATGAATTAGATAGTGTTCCGTGTGATTTATAAAGGTTTTTATTGACTGATTTTTCAAAAGCAGATCACAAGACCTTTCTTCTAAGACAGTTTCAGTCTGGAAGCTCCACTCATGGCTGTGGATGAGGCACATTTGCCAGAAATAGAACCCATGTCTGCCACATAGAAGGCAAAAATTCTATCACTGCATCACTAATGTCCTGTCTAGTGATAGTTGTTGTCAAGTTGATTCAGACTGGTAGTAACCTTGAGAGTCACTTGTTGCTATTGTTGTTATGTGGTTCGTGTTTAATAGGACTCATAGTGACCCTATGAACAACAGATCTGAACTCCATCCTATCCTGTGTCAATCTCTCCATCTCGGACACACCCAAGCCCTTAGCTATAGTCACTATGTTAATCCTGGTTGAGGGTCTCCTCTCTTTTGCTGTTCCCCCAGCTTTACAAGCATGATGAACTTGTCCAAGGAATAGCCTGTCCTAGCAACATGCCCAAAGCATGTGTGTTGTTAAGTACCATCAAGTGGAGTAAGAGTCACAGTTATCCCATGAACGGATTGAAACCTTGCCCCATCCTGTGCCTCCTCATCTCTGCTAATCAAGCTCATTGCTGTAGTCATTGTGTTAATCCATCTCATTGAAAATCTTTCTTTTGCTGACCTATCATTCAAACATGATGTCTTTCCCCCAGAGATATTGTGTCCTGAAAATATGACCAATGGATAGCACTGAGAAGAATAATTCTTGAAGATTTGTTTGTGACCATATGGAACCTGTACACAGACCAAGAAGTAGTTGTTTGAACAGAACAAGGGGTGCTGAATGATGTACAATTGGAGAAACCGTTTATTACAAATAAGTGCAATCTGTCATATCAACCATGAGAAAATATCTCTAGTCTTTGAAAAATGCCCTCTGATGGTGAAGTGAGCACAATCTTTGAAGCAATGCCTTTACTTCCTATGGGACAGATAGAAAAAAAAAAATCAAATATAATGAAGCAAACCCCAATCCCACATGTTTGTCAGTCAGATGATTCTTTCTGCTTATTTTCTTCCAGGTATCTGCAGTGAGATCATTCTAAAACCTAAGGATGTTTCTCAGGAAGAACTTTTGGATGTCATAGATCAACTGAACATGGATCCACGAGTCAGCGGCATTTTAGTTCAGTTACCACTGCCAGGTAGGTTATGTTCTTCTACGCAGTGTTGAGTTTACCTGGGAGAAAGGACATCTTTTAGTATTATATTTCAAAGTTGTTGTTATGGTTGAGTACCACTGAGTTATAACTGATTGTCCGTCCTTCTCCTGTGAAGCAGCTGGTGGCCTCGAACCGCCTGCCTTTGGGATTTCAGCGCAGCTTCTTGTCGTTAGGCTACCAGAGGTACTACAGGTAATTTAGAAAATATATCTAAAATGAGACTAGCTATTAGTCAGGCATGCAGTGAGTGCCGGTTTCACAAAGGAAGCTCACAATGACCGAAAATGGAAAGGAAAAAGCAATTAAGCATCAGTAGTTCAAGCAGTTTACTTTTATATAAGTAGTGCAGGACTACAATAATTATGATTTTTGGAGATCACTTTGAGTTTCAGCTTGCAAAATTATTTCAGAAAATTGTAATTATTCTTTGACTTTAAGGAGTTTCTTGAAAAACATAAAAGCTCTCTTACCTTTGGCTGTAAGTGTGTGCTGTTGTTAGGTGCTGAGGGGTTGATTATGACTTACAGTGATGCCATGAACAACAGAATAAAACCTCACCTTACCTTATAGGAAAATTAAAAAAAATAAAGCTTGTGTATATTCAGCACACTGTATTTTAAAGTGCCATAAAGCTTGAGAATGAGCATGTTTAATTTCTTTATAGAAAAGTCTAATGAATGGTTTGAACAGTGCTTGTTATCTTATCCTGGAGCTTAAGGTACAGAGAGAGTATCCTTTCTATGCTTTGAGGAATACTCAATTTCCTTTCCGAATTTGGGTTAGATTCCAACATTTCATCCTTTAAAAGTTTTAAAATATTTCTGTTAGTTATTTTAATATCCCTAAATCTATCTTTAAGTCAGGACTGGGTGTAAATCTGAACAGTATGGTTGATATCTAATGTCAGTTAGTATATTGTGCATTTATCTGTGTATAAAAATGTGAAATAAACACTTCCAGATACATGAAAATATCTTTGGTATCATCATTTTAATGCTGTTGCAAAATAACTATTGTTGTATGTAAGTCAGGCATTAAGTAATCCAGGATTCCTTGTGTATGCAATTTGAATTCTCTTGAAGTGGCTTCTCCATACCTCCAGTTACTGTCAAGTCAGTTCTGACTCCTGATATTCTAATGTTTCCCAGAGTAGATTTGCTCCATATGATTTTGGTGTCTGTTTTTATAGAAGTAACTTGCCTGGACATTTTTCTGTGCCAACCTTCAGTTTAGTTTAGTAAGTGAGTGCAAACACCTAATACAACTTAGGGGGCAAAGAGCTTTCTGTGTTCATTAAACTTTTCCAGTATTGCCTGTAGTTTAATTTTTGCCTTTGCCTTTGTCATTTTTAATTCATTTCATGAAGTCCAATTTCACCTGCTGTATTAACACATTTTGCTTCTTTGCTGTACATTTCTTTATCTTTGTTGGCCCTTCGATGTATCCATTTGAGTAAAATGTATTGTGGGTTTATTACTGGAAAAAGAGGTGTCAATACAACTGCAACTTTGGTGTCTATGTGAACTGAATAGCAAATGTGTAATGCCAAATCTCCTCAGTTACTTCTCAACAAGAAAGGTTGTGTCAACTGAGGAGGGTCTGAGGCATTTGCTGCACGAGGTCAGCCTTCAATATGGATTGAACCTCAACATCAAGAAAGCAAAAATTCTCACCCCTTGGCCAGTTGATAGCATCTTAAATGGTGAAGAGATTGAGGTTGTTAACAGCTTTAGCTTGCTTGACTCCATAGTCAACACTCTTGGTACCAGCAGCATAAAAATCAAAAGACTAATTGCATTGGGAAAGTCATCTGTCAAGGACTTCTCCAGAGTACTGAAGAGCAACGATTTCAGGGTGGAGACTAAGGTGTGTTGATCAAAGACATGGCCTTCACAATTACTTACTATGCGTCAGAAAGCTGGACAATGACTAAGGATGACAGTAGAAGAATTGATGCCTTTGAGCTGTGGTGATGGAGAAGAGTATTGAATATACCGTGAACTGCTAGAAAAGCAAACAGGTTCATCCTGGAGAGAGTGAAACCAGTTTGCTCCTTGGACGCAAGGATTTTGAAGCTTCATCTCACATCCTGTGGGTGTGTTACAAGGAGGGACCAGTCCTTGAAGAAGGACATCATTCCTAGAAGGGTGGAGAGACAGCACAAAAGAGGAAGACCTTGGATGAGCTGAATTGATTCAGTGACTGGGGTAAGGGGTAGGTGTGTCAGAGATGATGTTTAGAATTAGAAGAAGAATTCACATGTAGCACTTAACATTGTATATCACAGGGAACTGAAGTCTAGAGAAGGCCAAGGATTTTTTAAGAACACATATCGTTCAAGAATTTTTATTTGGTTTGAGCTTAGTTGTCTATTTCATGCACAATGAAATTTTTTTTAATATTGCATTTACCAAGTAATCTGAGTTTTCAAGTTTTAACTTTATCTACTTTCAAATATTTATATAGAATATGCAATGACCGTTGATGATAATAAGGGTGTGTGTGTGTGTGTGTGTGTGTGTGTGTGTGTGTGTGTTGAGTTTTTTTCCCACTTTTAGTGAAGGTTCACAAAGAGTCACATCATTCCTTCATTCATGCGCTTTTGGCTTGATGTCAATTGAGTATTGAGTTACTGTAGATAGTAACAATCTGCCACTAGGTGGCAATAGTGATTCATCTATTAGAAACAGCATGCTGGAGTATTGGGTTAATTTTTTTTTTTTAAACAAAAACAGAAATGTAGCCAAAAGGACATGATGATAAATCTTTGTATGCTCTGGAAGGATTAACTGTATATTTATGTGGAAATATAATAATATATAAAATAATATAGAGACTACAACTTTCAACATGGATTACATTTCAACAGCAAGAAGAAAAATCCTCACCAGTGGACTGAAAGGTAATATCATTATGTTGTTGTTATTTCTATGTACTGTCAAGTTGGAACTGACACATAACCGACCCTCTACCAGGTTTTCAGAGGCAGTAGATCATATGGAAAGAGATTATCCATCCTTCTCTCACACAACAGCTGATGGGTTCAAACATTATGCCTTTGAGATTACAGTGCAGCTTCTTACTACTAGGCGACCAGAGTTACGTTGTTGGAGAAGTTGTTCTTGTGTGCATCTGAGTTAACCATAACTCACAGTGACCCTATGGACAATGACTCTAAACCTTAGCCTATCCTGAGCCAACCTCACCAGCTCTGACACATCTGACCCCTTTGTCACACTCACTGTGTCAATCTATCTCATTCAAAGTCTTCCTCTTCTGTGCTGACACTCTTTTCAAGCATGAGGGCTTTTGCCCAGGACTGATCCCTCCTGGCAACATGTTCAAAGTATGTGAGACAGAGTCTCAAAATCCTTGCCTCCAAGGAGAAGCCTGATTTCACCCTTTCCAGCACAGACCTGCTTTTCCTCTTGGCATTCCGTGGTATGTTCAATACTCATCTCTAGCACCATAACTAGTTCTCAAACCAATACCTGTAACAATTATGTTTGCATCTTTTTATTAATACTCTAGTGTTACCCTGCCTCTCAAACCTCTATAAAGGATAATATAAGCACCTACATTTTTAAGCATTCAAAATAAAGTTTAACTTCCTACTAGCTATCTGTAATGATATCAGACTAGGGACTCAGATGTGCCCGATCCAGACCACAGTCTTCACAATTACTTGCTGTGCATCAGAGAGCTGGACTGACTAAGGATGACAGAAGAAGAACCAATACCTTTGACTTTTGGTGGTGGAGAAGAGTATTGAACATACATGGGCTGCCAAGATCACAAACATAGTGAGGGGGTGAAAGCAACTTTCTCCTAGGAAGCTAGGATTTTGAAGCTCTGTCTCACAAACTTTGGGCATGCGGCCATAAGGGACTGGTTCTTGGAGAAGGAAATAATGTTTGGAAGAGTGGAGGGAAAGTGCAGGAGAGGAAGACTCTGAATGAGATGGATTTACACAGTAATTGAGTAATAGGAATAGGCGTGTTGAAGTCAGTGAGATTAGCTCAGGATAGAACAGGCTTCAGAGCTATTGTACATATGGTCACTATGTTTCACAGGTGACTCGATGGCACATAACAATGACAGTAGCTATCTTTGACAAATAACTATTGTACCCCTAAGAGAAAACCTAAGGATAAGCAAATGTATAGGTTTCATGGTATGGAGCTGAGCTTCCTTGGGCTAGGCGGCACAAGAATCTGAGGCTCATGATCCTAGATTGTTGTTATGTGCTATCAAGTCACCTGAAACTCTTGCCAACAATATATACGACATCTCTTGAACCCTGCTCTACCCTGGGCCAATCTCATTGTCTCTGACAGACCGAGTCCCTTATCTCCAGTCACTGAGTTAATCTATCTCATCCTGGGTCTTCCCCTCCTGCGCTTTCCCTCCATCCTTCCTAGCATAATGTTTTTCTCCAAGGACTGTCTCTTCTGGCCACTTGCCCAGTAAGTGTGAGACAGAGCTTCAAAACCCTTGCCTTCAATCATCAGCTTGTTTTCACCCTCTCTAAAACTAACCTATTTGTTCTCCTGGCAGTCTGTGGTATGTTCAACACTCTTTTCCAGCACCACAACTCAAAGGCATTGATTCTTTTCTGTCATCCTAAGTTATTGCCCAGCTTTTAACAAATAATTAGAAAGATTATGGCCTGGATTGGGCACACCTTAGTCTCTAGACTGACATAGTTGCTCTTCAGTATTCTAGAGAGGTCTCTGACAGCAGACTTTCCCAATGCAATTCATGTTTTGATTTCCAGACTGCTGGTGCCAAATGTGTTTTACTGAAGAAAATAAAATAAAATAGAAAAAAACAAAAACAGCTCAAACATTCCATTAACAGGGAGCTGTCAGAAATTCAAGGTGCATTCTGGATAGGATGTGGAACAAGGAGTATCATTGCTGATGGCAAATGAATCTTGACTGAAACAGACTACCTTAATATATTTTCTTATACATTATTGA